AACGAAGTGGGGAGAGACATCCGAGAAACTCGAGAGAAGTTTTCACCCCCTCCTCTCGGATTTTCACTGTGACGAGCGCACGTTGAACCAGATATTAACCGACGAAATATGAACGATTTCACGTAGTTTCCAAGATCCGCGAGCGCGGAATTCATTAAATTTCTCCTCGATTGTTTCATTAAAAGAAGCAGCTCCTCTGGAAAAAGAAGAAAGAGAACTCGGTGGATATTTGTTCTACAGTTTCGAACTCCGGAAGATGAGTCTGTTCACTCTGGGCATCGTCGGATTATTAAAATATTCAAGCAACAAGGATACCCGTCTGAAAGTAAAAGAAATTCAACGTTAAACGTATGAAAAATAGACAAAGAGAATTTTAACCTTGCCCTGGCAACTGATTCGCGGACCATAACGAGCGACCAAATCATATACAATAAATCGTCACTTTCTTTTTGAACTCGTCGGTATGATATTGCTGGATAGAAATTATTACTAAGAGGTAATAAATTTATTATTTGTTTTGCCTTTTGAATTATATTTGAATATACTTAAAACTGAGGAAATATTGCAATTTTGGGACAAAAAAAGTTCTCGAACGTGACACGTCATTCGAGCACAAGAGGTTAACTCCTTGTTGTGTGTTAACAACTGATTCGCGGACCATAACGAGTGACCAAATGAAATAAATCGTCGCTTTCTATCTGAACTCGTCGGTATGATATCACTGGATAGAAATTATTACTAAGAAGTAATAAATTTATTATTTGTTTTGCCTGGATTATATTTAAATATACTTAAAACTGAGAAAATATAACAATTTTGGGGCAAAAAATTCTCGACGTGCGTAACAAGAGATTAATATACAATCTTCCAGATAGTAGATCAGCGATCGATGAAAAAAGAAGAAGACTTTTGCAATATCAAGAATGGGATGTTGCGTGCCTAAGGTCGACCTCAAAAAAAAGTCTCAAGATGTGACCCCCTTTCAGGATCATGACTTTTCCTCCTTATCTTTTCTTCGCTTTTTTTTCTTCTTCGTTTACACACGCATCGACCAAATTCGCTGAGGAACATTAACAAACACTTGAACAAATTGACGAACTTCCGCGTCCTTGCCTCGCGGTGTCCGTATCAATTTCGCGAGATTAAATTTGTTTTTGTAATCTTCGCTCCTGAAAACGCACGGTTTTTGCGTTCGTTAAGCCTTGCAAGATACACCGTGAATCACATTCTTGGAAATCAGTCGTACGATTGTCTTCATATGATAAGAATGCTAACGAAACTGTTTTTTTTATTTTAATTCGAGATTAACTGGAATTCGGGAAGCGATGTCCGGCATTAAAACAGGAATGATTAAACAAAAAAAAAAAAAAAAAAA